AAAAAGTCAACCACCTACCTGCTCTTTCTACCTTTCTTTTATAGACACTGTAATGGGCTAATGGGCCTGAGTCAACTTTGACTTTTGGCCCTTTTCATGGTTTGAATAAAATTCTAATTATTATTTATCTTTGAATCTTAGAGGTACTGATTTAGACTAGCTGAATAGGTATTCAGTTTCCTTTCTTCTATATGTAGGGTCCATCAGTTCCCCTATCCAGTACACTAGTCCCCCAAGCCCGAAGAGGTATGATTTGAGGGCTTTAAATTAGGGGAACAGTTGGACGAGGGGGGATTTCGGCGTAGTGAAAAATACTGAGGATGATATTCGATTTGATGAACGGAAGGGAATACCGAGGAGGGTATTCGGTTCGATTAGTGATCAAGAATACCGAGGGGGGTATTCGGTTTATTCAGCGAACAAGAATACCGGGGGGTATTCGGTTTAATCAGCGAACAAGAATACCGAGGGAGGTATTCGGTTCGATCTGTGATCAAGAATACCGAGGGGGTATTCGGTTTGATCAGTGATGGGGAATGCCGAGGGGGTGTTCGGTTTGATCAGTGAAAGGGAATATCGAGGATGGTATTCGGTGTGATCCTTGAAAGGAATACCGAGGGGATATTCGGTTTTCAATAAAGTCAATGTAATCCAAAGAATTTAGTAAATGAATAATAATAAAAATTTATATAAAAAATAAATAATAAAAATGGAAATGGATTCTTCTAGAATGTCAAGTACTTTTTAGGGTTTCCTCGATATGTGTGTGTGAAACGAAAGGGTACTTGATCTTCACCGCTCGATCTAGGACAAATCTGTCGGTTGGAGAGGGATGTGACCTTTCATATGTCCGAGGGCCCTCTATAAATATGCGGTGGTCCATGTGCTTTGTTCTCTACTTTGTCTCTATACCGAGAAGTATATACTATTGCTCCAAACCGAAGGGTACTCAATCTTTCTTTTTCAAACCGACTACTGTGAGATACGCTTCGTTCTTTCCCTTTTTTATCATGGCCGGATCCTTAGAATGGGAAGACTCGTTGTTCGAGTCGTCTATGCCGACTAGTGTCGATAGTCAACATGCTGAGAAAATCGGAGGGGGGGTAGCATTTGGTTCAGGACCTAGTAGGAATGATGAAGGCGTAGAAATTTGCGTTAGGGAGTGCAATGACGAAGCTGAATCGTCAGAGTCCACCAATTCTAATTCTTCTAAACCTTTACCGAGCATGAGCCCCCCTAGGGAGAGACCAGTACTTCCCCCTTGTACTATTCCTGGATACGAGTGGGTACACGGTGAGGTAGCTGCCTACTTCTCTCGGTATAAGAGAAATAAGGATCTCCAATCTTTTGTTGACCATGTGGACATTTCATTGTAGGAGTCGTCCGATCCTTACCCCATATTCATTAATCCTTGTCGCGGGGATGAAACCGAAGACCCTGAGTTTGTTTTTAGAGGGGGTGCCGGAATGGCCGACACCTTCTTCATGTACGAGTATATGTTTAGGGAGCTAGGTATAAAATTGCCCTTTAATGATTTTCAACTGGGGGTGTTGCGAGTTTTAAATATAGCGCCGACACAACTCCATCCGAATGGGTGGGCGGCTATTCAAGCTTTTAGAGTACTTTGTAAATTTCATTATATTGAACCTAGCGTAGGATTGTTTCTTCATTTTTTTTGTACTTGTCCATCGGACCTAGCCAGATGGGTATCCATAATAAGGCAACCAGACTTGCCTTTGTTCAAGCCTTATGCTTCGTCTTTTAAGGGTTTTAAAACCGGTTTCTTCAAAGTAATCGTCCATCCTGTAGGTAGAAATTTTTTCTTTGATAGTGAAAATAATCCTCTTTTTCCTTTCCACTGGACCCGGGTGCCTCGCCGGTACGACTGGATTCCCGAGGATATGTTGTCGGCTAAAGAATTAGCGGCATTGGAATATTTAAAGTCTCTTCCCCGAGACCTTCCTGCCCGACATATACTTTTAGTATTAAAATCTCCTCAACCTCGCCTGGACATGGATGGTATGTTACGTGATTGTGGTTTTATTTTTGGGTTAAATGATATTAATTTGACTGGCTGCTTTTTATTGTAGGTTTAATGGCTCAGCGTAGTGTTCATGTGCCGACATATCGGAAAACTTTGAAATCTAGGACACCTGAGAACATGCCCACCGAAGAGCACCGACATCCTCAACTGGACCATATTCCTGTTGCGACCGAGCTGCAACCTCCTCCTCGAGACCTTGTTATTGTCGAAAACAAACCGAAAAAACGGAAAGACAAGGGGAAGGAGAAAGAGAAGAGCAAAGAGGCGGACAGAGAGAAGAAAAGGAAGCACTCTCATTCAGGAAGGCCGAGCGGCTCGGATGGTAGCCGTCATCAAGGCCGGGGTGAGCTGGCCGCCGGCGCTGCGAGTTCCTCGAATAGTGTCTTCCCTCCTTTCTTTCTGATCGACGCCTTCCTCAACCAAGGTGTTCATGCTGGCCGAGCAGTTGCTCCTGACCTGTTGTCAGAAGGCAGGAAAGGAAGCAGTTAGCAACCTTGAGATTGAGTCTGTGTGAAAATACTTCTCGGAGTTTCAAATCCGGGCTATGATGATGCTCCGTCGATTGGCTCTAGAGCCCACACGGGAGATGAGGAAGGTTCAAAACGAGTATGCTGCCGCTCAGCAAACCCTTGCAGAAAATGAGGAGATTTGGCAAAATCTGGCCGAAAGAAATAAGGCTTTGGAAGCCGAGGTTATTCAATATAAAAAACGTTATCATATAGTGGAAAACCGACTCCAAGCTACTGAACAAGCGTTGAAGGCGAGGGAAGAGGAAATGGAAGCTTAGAGGGTAAAGTCTGTAGGATTGGAGGAGTCTTTGAGGGTCAAATCTGTCGAGATGGAGGAGGCAGTGGCTGCTGAAAGGCACAAGGCGGATGGTGAAATGAAAGCTTTTGCCGACAAGTGTTCAGCTCAAATGGCTATTGAACATGAGTCGGGTTTTAATCATGCCGTTCGCCAGTGCTATGGTTTTTGCCAAGTGCCTCCTGACTTCCAGTTCGATCTTACTAGAGATTTTTTTGGCGGTCGGTTCTTGCCATACAATGACGTAGATGAAGATTTAGAGCCTGACGCCGAAGCCCCTCCAAGAAAAAATATAAGCGACGATGCTGCAGCCCCTAATGTAGAGGCGGCCGGTCCTGATACCTCATGCCCAGGGAATTCAGTTTAATTTTTCTATTCTATTCATGGGCCAGTAATGCCCCAATTTTTGTAATCTTTTTAACAGAAATAGAAATTCTAACTGGTGTCATTCTCAATTTTTGCTAAAGAAGTTGACCATTTTTCCTACTACATGATAGCTCATATTTTGTTCCCACATTTTTAGTGTTATTGCATCCTTTGCATGACTTTTCATTCCCTTATTTCTTCCATTTAATATGTTTTTGCATTTATCTTGATAATTAGAAATTTTCGTAAATACTATACTTTTGTTCATATTTTCTATTTTGACCTTTGGTTACTAATTTGACCATAACTTTTTCTGTAGGTATTCTTTTTGGCGGATTCTTTTTGCATTTGATTCCTTACTTCTGGGGCTTTAATTTGGATATCTGGATCGTACTGTTTAGAGTCCAGAGCTATTTTCTACAAATTTTAGAAGTTTAGACTTTTAGTTGACTATTGTATAGTTTTTATTTTGCTTTTGTTTTGCAGTTCGTTTGTATTTAATTTCGGCCCAACTTTGGCCCACTCGGATTTTTCTCTTTTAGGATTAGTATTTATAGAGATCAGTGGCTGATTTGGAGGGACTTTTGATTCATTTTTTCATTTTTCAGTTTGCAATACCTTTCCCGCTTCTAATAGAATCTCTCTTTTTTTTTTTTACCATTCTTCTTCTTTTCTTGCATTTTTTTCCATTTTGAATTCGTATGCCTTTGCAATTACAACTGAAAGACGTTTAAGATTCTACAAAATCAAGATGATTTCTGCTATGTTCTCCCTTCAATTTCATTGCCAAAGTCCAGATCGCATTTGTTCAAGACGTTTTTGATGCTCCGAGTTTGTTTTCCGATCTCACATTTTTACGATTGTATAGAAGCATTGTTCGATTGAATTGTGCATTGTTCTTAATTGTATAACAATCAATTGATTAATTGTTTGTTGTGCAGAAGAGATTTAAACAAATTTAATTTTCATTCAATCTTAGTTTTGGATTTTTGTGCTCTGGATTTTGATTTTAACTTTCGGTTCCAATTCTGTGCAATTTCGTTTTCTGCATTTTAATTCTCTGCGATTTCATTATCTGTAATATCATTTTCTACATTTTAATTTTTTTAATTCAGTTTCTGCATTTAAACCCCCAAACATACAACCTTTCATGCATAATTGAGATTAGAGCAATGTGCAATTGCATCCTTGTGAGATATAACCTAGGTTGCTCCCTGAACTGCATGTTTTTGTGAGGAATTTAGTAGTTTTTGATACCACTGCGACATGGCTATCACTACATAACGGTATTTGTTCTAATAGCTTCTTCGTTAAGGCGAGCAGGGGTAGTTAAATAAATTTAACCGACTAAGTGCTATTTAAAATATCAGTAACGCTCCATTCTTATCCGAGTAAGGGTAATCAGTTGGGGAAAATTCAACCTTAAACAAGTGATACTTGAGGGGAATATAATTGATTTATCCTTAACCGAGTGGGGGTACTCGGGAGGGAAATAATTCAACCTTAGCCAAGTGATAATTGGGAGGAAAATATAATTGATTCATCCTTAACCGAGTGGGGGTACTCGGGAGGGAAATAATTCAATGGTGCTTGAAAGATATTCAGTGCATAAAAACCGTATAGGTGAAAAAGAAGAATTTTATTGATAAGGTGCCTCATTAAAAACCTTCCCAGGAAAACCCCTTTTCACTTTCTTTTAAGAGGATAAAACCTAGGATAGGAAAAGAGTACACCTGTGTATGCATTACAAGGCTTAACTATAATAATGTTTCAAATGTGTGACATTTCAGGTCCTCGATATTAGCTTTCCTTCCAATGTTTTCAACTTGTATGCTCCGTTATTTAATCTTGCTGTTACCCGAAAGGGGCCTTCCCAGTTAGCTGCCAGCTTTCCTTCTCGCCGATCCTTGCGTGCGTCTCCGGTTACTCGCCATACTAGGTCGTCTTTATAAAATTGTCGTGGACTGATTTTGGAGTTGAATTTTCTAGCCATCATTCTTCTACTAGCCTCGGTCATAATGGCAGCGTGATCACATATTTCATCTATTAAGTCCAGGTTGACGGCCAGAGCCTCTTCATTAGCCGATTCCTTGAAATTCTCCCTCCGGAATGTGGGTTCCCCAATTTCCACTGACACCATGGCATCAATACCATAGGTAAGCCGAAAGGGATTTTCCTTTGTTGTGGTTTGCGGTGTGCACCGATAAGCCCATAATATCTCAGGCAGTTTCTCTGCCCACTCTCCTTTTACCGAACCTAACTTTCTTTTTAATTCATGTAAGATCACTTTATTTGCGGCCTCGGCCTGGCCATTAGTCTGAGGATGTTTCACAGATGTAACTCTGTGTTTGATATGCAGGCCTTCCAGAAACTCATTGAACCGACAATCTGTAAATTGAAGCCCATTATCTGTAATTAGTGCATGGGGGAGGCCAAACCGTGTAATGATATTTTTTCAAGTGAATTTTTGCACGTTGTTGGCCGTGATGGTGGCTAGGGGTTTGACCTCAATCCATTTGGTGAAATAATCCACGGCGACGAGGAGAAATTTACATTGCCCTTTTGCTAGAGGGAAAGGACCGAGGAGGTCCATTCCCCAAATAGCAAAGGGCCAGGGAGAGCTAATGTGGCAAAGAGTATCGGCGTGTTGGTGCAGGTGAGGACCATGCTGTTGACAGGGAATGCATTTTTTTACAAACAAATGACAGTCTTGAGTTATTGTTGGCCAGTAGTATCCGGCTCTGAGTACTTTTGCTGCCGTAGTTCGTCCACCCGAATGGGTACCACAAATACCTTCATGGATTTCTCTCATGACGTAATTAGCTTGATCGTCGTCTAGGCATTTAAGCATGGGTGTTGAAACTCCTCTTCGATACAATTCTTTGCCGAGAAGAAGGTATTTGGCTGCATGTACTTTTATTTTCTTAGCTGAAGCTATATCTTCTGGTAAGCTGCCGTCAGTGAGGTACTGGATGAGTGGGGTCATCCAATTATGGGATGATTTTTCTATGTCCATGCATTCTTGTTTGGCGACACTAGGTTGGATGATTTGTTGGTGAACCACGCTATGCAACTGCCCTGGTTTCCGTTGGCTAGCCAGCTTAGCTAGCCTGTCGGCTCGTGGATTCATGTTTCTTGGTGTGTACCGAATACATACCTCCTCAAACTCAGTTTTATTTTCTTGAATTCTTGGTAATATTTAAGCATGACCGAGTCCCTTATCTAATATGTATCGTTAACTTGTTCGGTTACAATTTTTGAATCACTCCAAGCAGTAACGCGTTTAACTCCCATCTCCTTTGCTAGCCTGAGACCGGCGAGTAAGGCTTCATATTCGGCTTGATTGTTGGATGCCTTAAATCCAAACCGGATAGACTGTTCAATGGCAAATGCATTTGGTCCTTCAAGAATAACCCCAGCTCTACTGCCTAATTGATTTGATGATCCATCAACGTGCAAATTTCACATGTCTGAAGTGGTATTATGTTGTATAGTGAATTCATTGATGAAGTCGGCTAACACCTGGGCTTTAAGGGGGCGTCGGTTTTCGAAATGGATATCAAATTGAGACAATTCAATTGTCCACGCCACCAACCGGCCAGCCAACTCTGGTTTCCTCAAAATTTTGGCCATCAGACAATCTGTACGTACCACCATCCGATGGCTCTTAAAGTAGTGTCTTAACCGACGAGCTGTGTGGACTAAGGCAAGTACTACTTTCTTCATTAATTGATACCAAGATTCGGGACCTTGGAGTGTCCTGCTAACGAAATATACGGGATTCGGTTCAGGTGTTTCTTGAAGTAAAATCGAACTGATGGCGTGATTGGACACGGCCAAATAAATAACCATTTCCTGATTTGGTTTTGGTTTAATTAACACAAGTGGTGCCGCTAGCACATGTTTGTATTGTACAAAGGCGTCCTCGCATTCATTGGACCAAGCAAATTTTTGGGATTTCTTCAATAATTCACTGAAAGGTCGAGACCTTTCTGCCATTATTGGCAAGAATCTAGCAAGGGCTGTAATTCGCCCGGCCAGTCATTGAACGTCCTTGACATTTCGAGGACTGGCCATGTCGATGATGGCTCTACATTTGTCGGGGTTTGCCTCAATCCCCCTTTCAGACAACATGAAACCCAAGAATTTACCGCCAGCTACACCAAATGTACATTTTTCAGGATTGAACCTCATACCATGCTTTCTGGCTTCGCCGAATACTTCCTCTAAGTGGTCAAGATGTTCCTTCAATGCGAGGGATTTAATTACCATGGAAGTCCATATACACCTCCATGCATTTACCCACTTGTTTTTCAAAACTTTTGTTCATGAGTCGCTGGTATATTGCTCCTGCATTCTTTAAACCGAACGACATCACTTTATAACAAAAATTTGCAGAATTTGTGATGAATGTTGTTTTTTCCTCATCCGGGGGATACATTGGTATTTGATTATACCCAGAATAAGCATCCAAAAAACTCAGTATTTTGTGACCTGCTGCACCATCGACCAAGGTATCTATGTTTGGTAGGGGGTATGCGTCTTTTGGGCATGCTTTATTGAGGTCCGTGAAGTCCGTGCACATTCGCCATTTGCCGTTGGCTTTTTTGACCATGACGACGTTGGCTAACCATGTTGAATACCTGACTTCTCGGATAAAGCCAGCCTGTATTAGTTTGCTGGTTTCTTCTTTTACTGCCTTCGCTCTATCACCACCAATTTTTCTCTTCTTTTGAGCTACCGGCTTGGCCCTTTTGTAGACCGATAAGTGATGACAAAGAAATGCTGGATCAATGTCAGGCATATCCGAGGCTGTCCAAGCAAACAAATCGGCGTTGTCTAACAACATCCCTTGGAGGATTTGCTTTTCTTGTGCATTCAAACCGACCCCTAAATAAACGACTTGTTCTGGTTTTGCTCCTAGTTGGAAGGGTTGCAAGTTGAAACGTCTTGTGAGAGTTGCAAAAGAGTCGATGGATAAAGGGGGGAGTCGGGTAAACCAACTGAGTGCAGGTCCTCATAGTGAAGTAGGAAAAATTCTACACCATAAGGCATCGTTTTCTGTGTACAGACTGACTTGTGTTGCAAAGACATCCACGTGTTCTCCAGGGTCAGATGTGCCATCATATTTGTCTATTGCCAACTTTTTCCAATTATCGGGCAGCTTAGCCTCCAGAATGTGGTGAACGAATGGGCTCCAGTTCACAAGATCGTCCCGGTCATTTCTGGTGGCCGATTGATAGACTTGCCTTGATTTCTCTTGCAGTGCTGAGGATTCCCCTTGATCTTGGATGACGGGTGTAGTTTGGGAGGAGACATGTGTCCTTATCTCTTCCCTTAAGCCGGCATTTTCCCTTCTTAGGGCCGAGAGTTCTAGTGCATCTCTTTCGCGCTCCTTCTTCATCTCCATCATTTCTGCCTTAAGCTGCCTCAGTACAGCTAGAATGCTTTCCTCTGTTCCTCCCTGCATCACCACTTCAGGTATTGGTTCCTCTGGTGTGACGCCCTCCATTTGTTGCCGAGAGGTTCCTTCCTGCTGGCTTCTCGTCATTACCATGTTTAATCCTGAAGAATGAAGTTAATCGCGCCCCACGGTGGGCGCCAAAATGTTCCTTCTTAGGAAATGACTGTCTTCAACCTCTGATCTGGCGTCCTTCTGACAATTGCTGATGCGAGAGGGTACCTGCAAAAGGCACTCCGATGTTGAAGTTAAGATTCGGCTCGGAGTAATAAATGGTATTCAATAATAAAAAGTCAACCACCTACCTGCTCTTTCTACCTTTCTTTTATAGACACTGTAATGGGCTAATGGGCCTGAGTCAACTTTGACTTTTGGCCCTTTTCATGGTTTGAATAAAATTCTAATTATTATTTATCTTTGAATCTTAGAAGTATTGATTTAGACTAGCCGAATAGGTATTCAGTTTCCTTTCTTCTATATGTAGGGTCCATCAGTTCCCCTATCCAGTACAATAAGGAAAAAGTATATATGCATTATTGTTCACTAACAACGTATTAAATTTCATATAAGCTCAATCATATCCATATTATATAGCTAAGAGTGATTCTTTAGATATTTCTTTTGTTTGATACTATGTGAGTTCCGTCCTTAAAGAAATGCAACCTAATGCCTGTTGCTTGTAATTGTTTTCTTTTGCTTTAACAGCAATAATTTTCAATGATGCCCTTTTCGTTAAGTTTGTAAAGCAACATACTAAAATAAAATATTGAATGAAGTTTAAGATTAAGGTAACTGAATTAGAACTATTTATCAATAATATACACAAAATATAAACCGATGTTTAGAATATAAATAAATTAAGGTTCATCGTCTTCACATAAATTAGCCAATCTAAAGAATACTTTTTACATTTTATAAAAATAATTTACATTAATTTAAATTGATTTTAAAAGTATTTTAATATTAGTTATTTAAAAATCGATATTAAAAATATTATGTTATTTTAAAAATTGTTAATATGCAATTATGGCTGCTTTTTAGAACATGAAGAAAAGATATAGAAGGTAAGCATAAAAATAATCGAAAGAGCAGGTAAATGAATTAAAAGTAACGTGAGTCTGAGTAAAGAATAAAGATCATGTACGATAGGCTGCATGATTTAATTATTATATGGACCAATAAATTTATTACTTTATTTCAGTAATGTGTTGATGAACGCCATGGAAGAAAGCTTCAGGTTGCCGAAACTTAACTAATCTATTTGAAGAATGTTGAGCTGTCGCCCATCAGCAGCTTTGACGTGTTATTATTGAGTTCAGGTTATAATATTAATAAAAAAAAGGTTTTTATTAAAAAAATAAATGTCATAATTATTGAAATATATAGAAGTAGTGTATTTTTATATTTAGTTTGTTTAGTATTTTTCTATTGAAAAGATATTTTTATATTATTTAAAATAAAACTTAACTGCAATACTTTAAGTATCATTAGTACTGTTTATTAATCAAAGTTAAATAGAGACCTTTTTATGATAATATTAAATAAAAAACCTTTTTATTAAATAAAAGTTAAATTTTAATTAGTACCCAGCACTTAACTAACACCTATAAACTATACACATAATTTTTGTTCTAAAGGAATTGCCAAACCCCTACTCTATAAATTGGAGAGAGTTTTGGGGCTTTCTTCACAGGAAAAACTCTTCCTAAGTCTCAGAAACAAAACTAAGAACATTTATACTAAAGACAGAGATGGGTATCACCAAAGAGGAGAAACAAGAAACCCAACATGAAGGCCCCAAAGATCTCAGTTTTCAGACTCTCCTGCGGAGCGATGCACTTTATCAGGTTCATTAGTTAAACAACTTTGCATTTTGTCTCTCATAAACAATCTTTCCTTCAGAGTAATTTACTCTAACATTTCCTATTATATGTATTAGTGCAGTATATACTCGAAACCAGTGTGCATCCAAGAGAGCACGAAAGCCTGAAGGAGCTGCGCCAGATGACAGAAAAACACCCTTGGTAAGACCAAGTTATTCTCCCTCACGAGAACACTATCCAATAAGTTAATTAAAAATGTAGCTTGAAAAGTTAGAGCTAATTTAAAATTAAAAAGTTGCTAGGTTAATTAATTGATTGGTTAAAAGTATTTAGTAAGATTAATTGTTAAATTATTTCATAAATGTAAAATAATATAAAAATATTTAATTATTTTCCTATAACTCAAATTGCAGTAAATATATATATATATATATATATATATATATATTAAATAATTTATCAAATTAAAATTGAAATAACTTTTTATTGTATTTTTATTTTTAAATATTTTTATTATATGATAAGGAGAGTATTTAAAAAAATTTATAAAATTAAAATAAATTTTATTAACCACAATCTTTAGAACTGAATTTAAGCATCTAGTTACTTATTTTTAACCCTGAAAACTGAAGTTAACAAAATCTAATTTAAAAAGATAAAGAAAAGTTATAATGAGATAATAGTAATAAAATAAAAAAAGAATAAATAAATTAAGGGTTTGTAAAGTTAAACGATATATGAAGTAGCAATTTGAGGGGGGAAAAAGTTCTAAAAACATACTCTTGCTAGTGTGTTTTTTAAATATTGATTAAAATTTATTAAAAATTTAACTAAAACTTATTAAATTAGGAGTGGAATTTATATATATTGTGACTTCTAATAAATTTTAATGAAGTGTATTTAAAAATTATACTAAACGTTATATTATTAATATTTCTCTTAAAAAATACTAAAAAAATGTTATAAACTATTTGAATAAGTTGATTTACCAAACAAGTCTACTATAAACTATGAAGATAAAGAAAAAGAAAAAATACAATAAAATTGATGAAACGGGAAAATCATGGTGACCCCAGCAGACGAAGCGCAACTTCTAAGCATGCTGCTTATGGTCATGAACGCCAAGAACACCATGGAAATAGGTGTCTACATGTTGGGGGAAACCAAACACAAGAACACAATTATCTAAAGTGAACAGCGGAAACAATTCCCCAAACTTGCAAGAACCTGTGAGCTATGATCATTTGCGTGTCTTCGGTTGCAAGGCCTATGTTCATGTTCCAAAGGATGAAAGATCCAAGTTGGATGCGAAGACAAGGCAATGTATCTTTATTGGTTATTATAAGGATGAATTTGGCTACAAGTTATATGATCCTATTGAGAAGAAGATTGTTAGAAGCCGTGATGTGCAGTTCATGGAAGATCAAACCATTGAAGATATTGACAAAGTGGAAAAGAATACACCCAAGAAAGATAGTAATCTGACTTATGGTAATATAATATGGTTGCCTGTTGACAATCTGAATCATGCTGAGACTAATTCTCAGAATGAAGAGCAACATAGTGATGTTGATGACCAGCAGGTTGGAGATGGATTAGAGGTTCCGATTGATGGTGATCAAGGGGAACATGATGATGATCTTGATGATGCACCAGAACTAGTGGTTGTTCTAGTGCATCATCATGTTCCCCTTGATCACCATCAATCGGAACCTATAATCCATCTCCAACCTGTTGGTCATCAACATCACGATGTTGCTCTTCATTCTGAGAATTAGTCTCAGCATGATCCAGATTGTCAACAGGCAACCATATTGGATTACCATAAGTCATATTACTATCTTTCTTAGGTGTATTCTTTTCCACTTTGTCAATATCTTCAATGGTTTGATCTTCCATGAACTGCACATCACGGCTTCTAACAATCTTCTTCTCAATAGGATCATATAACTTGTAGCCAAATTCATCTTGACAATAACCAATAAAGATACATTGCCATGAAAGACATGCGAGCTGCTAAAAAGATTCTTGGTATAAGAATCACTCGTGATAGGAAAGAGAAGAAACTTTGGCTATCACAGGAGCACTACATTGAGAAGGTGTTACAAAGATTCCAAATGAAAAATGCTAAAGCTGTGAGCACTCCTCTTGCGGCTCATTTTTAACTGAGTGTTAAACAGAGTCCTTCAAATGAAGCTGAGAAGACAGACATGAGCAGAGTTCCTTATGCATCTGCAGTGGGTAGTCTGATGTATGCAATAGTATGTACAAGACCAGATATTGCACATGCTGTTGGTACAGTCAGTAGATTTCTGTCAAATCCAGGTAGAGAGCATTGGAATGCTGTGAAATGGATTTTGAGGTATTTTCGTGGTACTAGTAGTTTGAGGCTTTGTTTTGGAGGTGATAAACCTACTTTGGTAGGTTACTCAGACTCAGATATGGCTGGAGACATTGATTCCAGGAGGTCTACTTCAGGCTATATGATTAAATTTGTAGGGGGAGCTATAGCTTGGCAGTCAAGGCTGCAAAAGTGTGTAGCGTTGTCTACCACAGAGGCAGAGTTCATTGCACTTACTGAAGCGTGCAAGGAGTTGCTATGGGCGAAGAAATTCTTGCAAGAGCTTGGTTTTGTGCAGGACAAATACTTGTTGCTTTGTGACAATCAAAGTTCTATCCATCTTGGTAAGAATCCAACTTTCCATTCTAGATCCAAACATATTGATGTAAGGTATCATTGGATACGTGATGTTTTGGATGCTAAGCTGTTGGAGTTGGCTAAAGTTCATACTGATGATAATGGTGCTGATATGATGACTAAGGTACTACCAAGAGGGAAGTTTGAGCACTGTTGTGAGATCGCCGGATTGACGGTCACCTCCACATAATTATGAGGGGGGAAAATTGTTGGGTTGGACTCTCAACTATGTGTCCAAAAGTTCAAATTTTAAGCACAATTTTTCACATAATTGAGGAGAGTGAGAAGTCAGAAGAGTGGGTGAGAGAAGTCAAAATTGAAAGGTTTTTTTTTCTTGCATCCGATGCATGGTGTATTTTGGAGAGAGAGACATCAAAAGAGAGAAGGGAAGTGAGGGAAGAAAGAAGCTTCAGATCAGCTACTCCATTTTTTTGATATCCGATTAGTTCACCGTTGGATCGGGCTGAAAATTTTACATCAGATTCATAACACGGTTCTCTTTATTCTGACCGTTCGGATTGTTTATTAGAGTTCTGAAATTGGAGATATTGTCTTCGCACAGAAGCCTTGTTTTTGGTGACTCTGCACAGACCAGCCGCATAGAAATAGTTATTTCTCCTTATTCAACCGTTGGATTGAGCTGAAACTTTGATAGAAATTCTCAGACATATAGTTCTTCGTTCTGACCGCTGGGATCTTTGATTGGAGGGTTTGGCTGAGAGAAATCGTGTATGAACAGCAGCTCTGTTTTGTGAGATTTTCTCTCTTTGGTTAGGCTTTATTGCTTGGTTGTATTAGTTGATTGTTTGCACGAATTTGTGTAGTATTTTGAGACTCTCTTGTAACTTCATTTGATTATAGTGGAGCTTGATTGACTGGCTTGAACCCGTGGGTTTTTACTTCTCACATTGAGAGGGTTTTCCCACGTAAATAATTATGTGTCCTTGTGTTTGTTGCTGCCATTTGTTATTGTTGTTGCTCCTCACAGGTTCTTGCAAGTTTGGAGAATTGTTTCCGCTGCTCACTTTAGATAATTGTGTTCTTGTGTTTGGTTTTCCCCAACACTACACTGGTTACTCTCTGCTCTCTACTGCCCTAGATGGAAAGGTCCTTACTAATTAGCTCGATTAACACGTTTAACTAAACTTTAAATCATATATATATATATATATATGCATCCATTCCTCATTAAATTCATGACTCAAATTTGTAGAATACGTTGTGTTATATTAGATCTTAGCTATGGACGTGAACCGCGAATATTACGAGTTAGGATTGCCCATAATTCAAAAGACTGGAGTGGCTCACAAGATTGACTTCAGAGAAGGACACGCTCTTCCTCTTCTTGACGAACTGATTAAAGATGTGCGTACACCATTCACTATCATCTTAATGTTAATCCACACTTTAAATTTGAATCTAGGGAAGGAGGAATTTATTAACAATGGTTTGATTTGTTAAAGTGACCTTGTGATTTGTTAAAGCAATATCATATCTTCTTGCAAAGCTTTTAAATTTTTAATATTATTTTATGGAGAAACTATTTAATAAACTTAAAATATAAAAAAATTAATATTTTCTTCATGTAACAAGCAAAAGATCAATATATAAGGCATTATCAGTATTATTCTCTTTACTAAATCTGTGTCAAATTTGTAGGAAAATAACAAAGGAAAATTTGATTTCATTTATGTGGACGCTGATAAGGATAACTACTTGAACTATCACAAGAGAGTGATTGAGCTTGTGAAGATTGGGGGAGTGATCGCATACGATAACACCCTATGGACTGGATCAGTGGCGGCTCCATCTGACGCGCCGATGGTCGATTTCATCAAACATCACCGGAGTTATGTGATTGAGTTCAACAACTATTTGGCTCATGATTCTAGGATTCACATTTCCCAGCTCTCTATTGGTGATGGCCTTACCCTGTGCCGCCGGAGTATCTGATCACTTCTCGTCCCATTTATATTCTTCTCCTTCATGAATTTGGATTTTAATTACGTTTGTCAAGGGTGATCCAATCATTGATTAAAATAAAACCCTTCTTCAAAAGTGTGGGTGAATTCTAAAGATTTTATTATTAAGCTTTTTAATATACGTCAATTGATATATAATAAATTTTATTAAAAATTCATTATATAAATACTTTTGTTGTGTGAGATTGAATGCACGTTAAAAATTTTATTATTATTATTTGTTCCCGCTGAATTATAATCATGGGTAAATGTTCGGTAGAAGGACCAAAAGTAAGCATGCCAACTACCCTCTACTTAAAAAAAAATTGAATTTCTTGCTTTTTCAGTTGGATTTATTTGTTGCAGATCTGCAGGATCTGTTCTTACGTTTTATATTACTAAAAAAATTACTTGTTAATTAATCGAATACTTGACAATGACAAGAATCCACGAGTACATAACTTATTTAAATTAGTATTAAATAAATGAATTATAAAAAGTAGAGGAAAACGTGTTAAAGATTCTTTAAGATAAGAAAGAATCTTAAATTAGAGATTTCAAAATTAGGGTTTGAATTGATTTAGTTTTATTTAAAATTTTATTTAGTTATTTAAATAATATGTTATTTAGTCCCTAGTGTGTTATATATTTATTTGCCAACAACGTAATACTCTAAGATGTTCTACTGATATTGCAAAATAAATTGACACTTCATTTTATTTAGACTATTATATTTTATAATTAAAGTTTATTTTTTAAAATAATTTTTAAATTATATCAAAGATTTCTATTTATAATGCTTTTATCATCAGAAAAAGATGAGCTATTATATTTTTTAGAAATGTGACACATGAAAAGCAACAGAGAATTTGGTAAAAGATATATAATACAACTTGGTAGTTTCAACCCCAATACAAAGTGAATGCAGGTAGGGGGAACGAGAGACAGGAAATATTAATAGTTGGGGTAGACAATGATCAAGAGGTTCTAGCTATTATGTCCTAATTCTGTTGTTGACTAATGATTTCTTGGTACAAAACCTGAAAGTTAAAAGCGAGAAACACAAGAAACACAATCAATATTAGTGAGGGTAAGAATGACGTCACGTGTATTTGCAAACGTGCAAATAATCAGCATTACTAAGATATCACAAAAATTAACACGTCAACAGCGTTCATAACCTCTACACAAAGCATTTGAAGAAAAAATGACGGAGCAAAGCACAGCAACCACAAACAAAACTTACACTAGCACTAAATATGTTAACCCAGAGGCAAAAACAAAATGATAAAGGAAAAGATGGCTTACCTGATTGATAACACGCAAATTCACGAATTACACAGTGAAAGTCGATGAAAATTGTTTCAAATATTTGGGTATTCAGGAAAACGATATCAACATCACAATCACCATTCCTTACAATTTACAAGTTGAATTTTCCACATTGTAAAAAGCATGACTGAATTAGTTGTATAGCTGTCATACAAGTCTTCTTCAACGATCTTTCAAAGAATTGTAGAGCAAAATATTTTCAAAAATGTTTATACATGAAAGGACCTTCAATATCTTTTCTTTCAATATTCAAAAGATTAATTTCATTCAAACTATCTTCTACAAGACAAGAAACGTTCAACTAGAATCTCAACGGAAGCAAGAAACCCAAATTGATGGGCAAGGCTGATAGTCAGAGAATACCAAAGGAAAGGAAGAGTTATAGTGGATTCTCAGAGAGTTAATATCATAACAAGATACCACCAGAGCAAAATACAATATCATACATATTTACACCAGAAAAGCTACCCACACCTTTCACTTCATCTAAAGGAAAATCGTCAGGGAAAAAGAATTGCCAAAAAGAACTTCCTACTTATAAACATATGCAATCATTTAGTCCAAGCTTCTAGTAATGGCTGGCGCAACATGTTGCTAAAGAAAACTATTAGTAATCCTATAGTATTTATTCCATTGATCTCTTAATTTGACAACTTTTTCTTATTTTTTTGTTTTAAAACAAAATTAAAATCAGGAAAAATAATTATACATGTCAGATGACATGATTTTAATGGCAGTTTAGGCAGACTGAATTTTTAAAATGTTGCTGAGGCAATGGTTAAGACAGAGAATTAAATATCACATTAGTGGTCATCATTTTCATGGAACAACAAAAAACATTACAAAAGATTTTATTCAAAAAACTGAAGATAAGTGTTGCACCACTTCAACAAATGTTATATCCCACATTACTGTATAGGAAACTCAAGGTAGTAATTAAGCCATGAAGTTCCTTCACATAATGGACTAGACTTTCAAATTAAGCTTTCCCCTCACGTTCTGAAGTTATAACAATTGGTGCTCTCTTTAAGGTTAGATTACAAAAAAGGACTACTAATGTGCTAGTTTAACATGCAATATATCAAATACTGATAGACAAGAAGAGTAGAAAAAGTAAGGGCAAAGGGCAACTACCCTGTCAAAGTTGAAAGAGTTGACTTCTAAAGAGACAATATTATGAATCTCACATAAGTAAAACGATAATCTTAATACAGAATTGAAATCATTAAGATCTCTCACTTAATAGACAAGTCTTTTGATTTGAGCTCTCTTAACATGCTAACTTATAATTAGGTGAGACTGACTCAATAGACTAACTTATTTGGTGAAGCCACACACCCTAAATACCACATCAACAGTGCCATTCTCCTTAATGGGGGGCCCATAACAATGTTACTTTAAGAGGTGACATCCACAACATGCACCGCGATATAATCTATATGTAGTTTTATTTGCAATCCAACTCTCAACAAAAGCACCAATTGTTATGACTTAAGTAAATCTCATAACTTAAGTGTAATATCCAATTTCCAATTCTACTTGATGTAGGACACACATAAAATCACCTCTCCTTTAAGAGTTGACATCCGCAATAACTTTACTCTATCCACATAACCTTTCCCTTCATGGTTCCAAAGGGTTGGAAAAAAACTTTCTTACTTATTTTGAAGTTTGGTGAAAGAGTAGCTTATGATGTTGCATAAGTGGAAGTGTGTATTAATCCATTACAATGGAAGTATCTATTAAGCCATACTATTTTCAAGAATTAAGTGGTAACTACTTAAAAATGAGAAACAATTGGACTTTCAAAAGTAGCTAGTAGAAGAAGGTAGTTGGGTGACACAAGGTAGTGCTAACATCATTTGGAACAAATTGGCTACAAAGGTCAAGAAAGTTGCCAAGAAAATGTTAGGTGAATCTAGAGGTTTTGAACCAAAAGACAAGGAATTATGGTCGTGGAATGAAAGTGTCCTAAAAAAGATTAGAGAGAAGAGAATACGTTTTAAAACTATGCATACATGTAACAATGCTGAAAATTAACTAAGGTACCGAAATGCAAGAAATGAGACATGAAAAGCAGTGAGTAAAACACGTTCCAAAGTTTTTGAAGAGTTCTATTAAGATTTTGGGATAAAGTATGGTAAAATAAAGATTTATAAGCTTACTAAAAGTAGAGAAAGAATATCTACAAATTTGGATCAAGTTAGATGTATTAAGAATGAAGAAGGAAAAGTTTTGGTTTCGGATCAAGGCACCAAAGACAGATAGAAGAAATATTTCTATAAATTTTTTAATGATGGATAAGGAACAAATGAAAATATAGCAAAATTAGAAGTGCAAGCGAATAATTTAAATATAACATATTATAGTAGGATTTGAATTAAAGTAAAAGAAACTCTTAAGTGAATTGATAATGGTAAAGCAATTAGCCCCAATAATATCCTTATAAGAAGTTTCGAAAAGTTTGGGAAAATAAAAACTTAAGTGACTCACTAAGCTCTTTGATGAGATTTTGAAATCAAAGAATATGTAAGATGAATGAATGAAGAACACTTTGGTTCTTATATAAAAGAACAAGGTTAATATCCAAAACTGTGCAAACTATAGAGGGATTAAACTTATGAGTCACACTATGAAATTGTAGGAAAAAGGTAATTGAACATAGACTACGGAAAGAAACTGAGATTGGAAAAAATAAATTTAATTTTATGCCTAAGAAATTTTACAATAGAAACTATATAAAAATGGAAACTTATATATGATTTTTATTGACTTAGAGAAAACATATGATCGAATAACAAAAAAAAAGTTATTAAAGACTTTAAAAAAGAAAGGGGACCATGTAACATGTTCGGCTTATACAAGATATGTATGGGGAAGTAACTACATGTGTGAGAACTTCTATTCTTATTTAATCTAGTTCTAGATGTGCTCACAAGTAACATCCAAAGGGAAAGTAACTACATGTGTGAGAACTTCTATTCTTATTTAATCTAGTTCTCGATGTGCTCACAAGTGACATCCAAAAAATTATCCCTATGAGCATGCTCTTTGTAGAGGATATAGTGTTGGTTGAGAATTTAAAAGAAGAAGTTAATGTTAAACTTGAGTTATGGAAGAAGACTTTAAAATATAAGAATTTTTGTTTGTGTAGAAGTAAGACACAGTATATCAATTGTAAGTTTAGCAAAAATAAAATTAAAATTAAAATTAAAATTGAAAATGGTATTAAATTACAATTTTTAAGATTCAAGTACTTGAGATTGATTATATAGAATGATAAGGTGAATTAATGAAGATGTTACTCAGAATACAAGTTGGGTAATTAAAATGGAAGAAGACATTAAGAGTTATTTGTGATCGTAAAATACTTATTAAGCTAAAAAAAAAAAATTTGCTATAGTGTAATACAACCGACTATCATATATGATAGTGAATATTGGACCTTAAAAGAACAACACAAAAAGAAGAGTGGTAGAAATAAGAATGTTAAAGTGGATGAATGGTCGAACGAGAAAGGATAAGATGAGAAATGATAGTATAGGAAGAATATTAAAGTAACACCTATAATAGAAAAGATGACTGAAAATTGTCTAAAGTGGTTTGGTCACATGCAGAAAAGACCTTTGAAGACAGCAAAAAAAGGAGCGGATTGCATGACTTTTAGTCTGATAAAAAAGGGTCAAGAGAAACCCAATAGAATCTTAGACGAAGTTATTAAAAGAAACATTTTAATTAACCAGATTTCTAAAAATTTAGTTTTTGACTGAGTTCAATGGTGTTGTGTAATTCATGTAGCCGACTTAGTGCAATAAGGCTTAGTTGTCGTTATTGGAATCATGAACTAGTCACACTAGAACTTCTACTTCTGCTCATGAAGCAGACAACTGAACTCATACCTAGGACAAAAGAATTATCCCATCCAGCTTGACAATGAAGATTGATGACATAGTTTAGGTTAGATGTTATTTAACTTGTCAAATTTGTAGTATCTTTAACACAACCTAATGAGTTAAATTTAAAAAATATGAGTACCTGATTAGGGCATGGTCGTCAATTGATCCACACCAATACCTTCTCAACATCAATGTTAGAAAAGTAATTTTGCCAACCACAATTATTGTAAATTGGAAAACAGAAATAATGCATCTATGTGCAACAAGAGAAAGAGTGAAAGTGATGCATCCAGGGCTGCAACTATCTAGAATTTGATTTGTGCATCCAAGAATACAACATACCTGAACTATTTATAGCTCCAGATAAAGTCTTGGTCTCTCATGATTACTACCTCAAATGACTTCACAGATCCTTGTTAATCTAATTTTCTAATCTAGCAACAGTTCTGTGACATTTCACAGCTTGAGGCAATACTGCAGGGTACATGTCAAGATACTAGAGATCCTCTTGAAAAACTAGCTTGCATAAGATATGAGATAATGCTTAGTCATCACAGCTGCAACAAGACTGCAATATTGCAGGAAGAAAAAGAAGATGAGAAGCAAACAATTTGGACGATGGATGAGCGAAGCTGACTTAGAGAACTGAACAGATCCAGTAAAGCTTCCACCAGTATTGGTCACTGGACTTGTACTGGGTACAGAAATATTCTTGCAAGACCCAAAGGGTGCACCCTCCTGCAAAATAGCAGTAATTGTGTCATACAAAATAATACAGTTGGTTTTCAATTCATCAAAATGTACAGGTAGAGCCTTTGCCAAGGCCCAAGATAGAAATTCATCCACATCAAATGTTCTTCCATTTCATACAAATACAATATGCAACTAAACACCAAGTGATGAATATGTGTGCCTCGTGATGACTATCAGACTAAATGGATCTTAACCGAATTTTTCCCAATTATTGTGCTACACTATTTCATAAAAATAGCGACAAACATGAAGCATGCAGTTAAGAACAAATAGTGGAGAGGATAGTTGAGAAAAATAAGGGAAGTCAAGAGAGGACATGGGGATGTTATTACTAGTGTCAATGTATTTATTTTAAACTTATATTGAGTTTTATAAACCTATAATTTTATGTTTATTTAAAAAAAAATGAGTTAGATATTGTTAGAATTTCTGGGCAGAGTGAACATGGAAACTACCTCACTTTTCTCTTTATGAAATACTCCAAAATCTAAAAAGAAATTGACATGTAATCAAATTCAAGCATATCAATGTTTTTCTTTTCTACTTTCAACAAAATGAAAATTCACCTTCAATCCCAAGTGAATGAACCTTTCTTTCCATCATCCAAGTTGTGATCATTTTATCTCTCTAATTATTGTCGGTTTCAAGATAAAAAAAAAAGGACACTTGTATTTAAGAAAACAAAAAGAATTTTGATTGTGGTAACTAACTGACCAATAGTCTGATTCCACATTCATAGGACAATCTAAATCAACCTGATGTCCAATGTATATTCAGGCTTCAAAGAGTTCATCTGAAGATTTCATATATTCTATTCATGTGGACAACCTTTTGGAATAAATGACTTGAAATTTGTAGTTAGATGAAATGCCGGAAACTTTCCACAGGGTGTAAAATTATGCTCAATTAGGTTTCTACTCACCAGTTTGGGAGTAGACACAGACAGAATCACATATATGAGGAATCATCAGAAAACAAAAGCTTCACGAACAAATGGCATTAAGACAATACATATCTGAACAAAGAAGTGCAGACAAACCTGGCAGGCAGTGATTGTACTACACCCACACAATGTGTGGCCATTCATTTTATCCACAATATCAAAAACACCACCTCCATCACTTCTCTGCACGAAATTTCATTCAGAATGCTAAAGTGGAATTGCAAGGTATCTGCTGTATACAGATCAATAATTAAGTTTCATTCAACAACCTAGAAGCTAGAACAATAAGGGATACCATGTAAAAATTTACAGCAACAAAATTGGGCAGCAGATTCCCTGCAGCTTTGTAACATGTATTCACCATCTCAGCAAGAGGAGCTGAATGCTCTTTGCATGAGTCAGCTTCAACTGGATATGTTGGAAAGTAATTCATTAAGAAAAGTGATGAACTTCTAGAATTTAGTGCCTTCGATTCTTTTCTATGTGGGCAAGAACCCGGTTGAACTCCAGGATCTCCAGCTGAAAGCAAGTAAATTATATGTTCGTCGTTACAAAACATGTATAACGGAGATCCACATGCTAAAACAATATAGTGCTTACGCTCATTTTCAACCATGTGCTTCCACTCATAAGCTATTCCTTCATCAGCTTCCTTCGAAGCATCGGAAGTGAATACAACAAGCCGGTGATTTGCTTGAACCATCTCCGTTACAGTGGGCCAATCGTCACCCTTTTTCGGCATCTTGGACACAGGGAACCAATACTTGTCCAATCCAGCCCTCATGAACAGATTTGTCAACCCCTTGGGAGTGTGCACATAGTCTTCAATTATGATGGTGACAATCTCAGTTGGATTTTCCGTCAAGAACGCCTCCACTTCTTTCAAAGTATTTATCGCAGGTTGCTGAGAGCATTTCAACAGACACATTACACCACACCCCACGAAAATGAAACCAAAAAAGCACACTTTACACTTCGATTGTGAAACGAAAAATCAATCAATATAACAAAGAGGGTGAGATTACAAAGGCAGTGATGTTGAAGCATTGCCCTCGAAACGAATGACAGAGCCAGATATCATTCTGGAAGTCGTACATATCCAACATCAGTCCCCTCACTCCATTCTAAATCATCAAAAAAATAATGCATAAGCAAACATAACAAAAAAACAAGCAAAATTAAGAAGAGCAACATGCAATTGCAAAGTGCATTGATACCCTCAACTGGTTAGTGACAGTATCTTCTTGATTGTAAAACGTTAGTCTCTGAACACCAGGCAAAGGCGGTGAATCGACGATGCTGAAGGAATTGTGAGTGACTATCCACGTGTACTTGTTGAAGGGCAACCCATTCAGCTGCACAACATGGCACAAAAGGTAAAGTCACATAAAATTGGGCATTTGGAAAAGGCATCACTGAAATCAAAGGAAAGAATGATCTTACAATGGAAGTAGGAAGGGTGGGTTGGCCTCGGGTGCAGATGGGTTGCTTCAAGCCCAAAGCGGGGCAATTGCCACAGTAGAGACCCGGCCCACAATCAGTAGCAGCTGAACAAGCTTCTAGCACCTGCCAAATTCAGAACAATCCATGGATCTCTTTTCTTGAAACTTGAAAGAGAACAAAAGTGAGTGAGGGAGAGAGAGAAAGAGAACCTGGCAATTGGCGTTAGAGCACGCGGCATAAGCGCTAAAGAAGAGGGAACAGAAGAGTGGCACGATGAGGTACATGATGGAAGGTACTCTGCATTTCCGAGGGTAGTTCAGGAAATGCGAGTACATGGCAGGTTCAGTAGTGTAGTGCAGAATCTTGAACTAGAAGGATGGATGATTAGAGTTACAAGGTTCAAACAGTGAACCTTTAAAGCTAAAGAGAATTCCACTGTGCAGTGATCAAACCCAAACCTGCTTTCTAAGTGCACTTACGTTCTGCTAATTATCTTTAAGCACTGTTTGGTGTAAATTGAACCTTCAACTGTTATATTTTATTTTTGTTTTAGACTACTCCCTCCTTCCTATTTTGTATTTACTGAAACTCCAAGTACAGATCAGAAATTAGTTGAAATAATTTTTACTACTTTAACGACGCATATTTTATTTGATGAGACGTAAATAAGATATTTTTTAATTATTAATTAAAATTATTAAAAATTACTTGATTTTTATTTTTAAATTTAATATTTTTTATAAGTTTTAATGAATTTTAATTAATAATTAAAATTGTATTTAAAAAAATTTAACTCATTAGGTCACAAGAGTAAATGCTTATTGTCATTTGTTTGGCATTTTTCTATTTTTATTTAAAATACTTGTTTTCATTAATAAGAAGGATATTTTAAAGAAAAATTATATATATAAAACAAGAGAAAAAAAGAAAGAAAGCAAATATAAATAAATTTACTATTATATATTTAAAATAATTAAACAAAAATATTAAGTTGGAGATAAATTTATCTAATTAATTTTAATTTTTTATTTTCTTCAAATTTTTATTTTTTAAGTAAGCTATAGGAATTAAATTGAGGGGAGTATTTTTAAGAAAACATAATTTTTAAGTCAAAAATAAAAAAATTCTAAAAAAACAACACAATCTCATTCTCAAAAAGCTTATTATTATTATTATTATTATTATTATTATTATTATTATTATTATTATTATTATTATTATTATTATTATTATTAAATAACAAACATTTTTGCTTATGTTATTGATTTGTTATAATGATTTAGTGACTATATTGCATTTGTACTAAATTCTTTACCGGTACATATATTCATTGAAGTTGCAAAATATCGAATAAAATCAGTTAGATTGATATATAACTTTACCATAATTACCTAAGTTATATTTGAACGGACAATTTTAAAATTTTAAAAACTATAAAATGAAAAATAAGAGAAATTTAAATTGAAAGTTAAGTATAAAAAGAGTTATGAAGAATAAATATAAAAAATTGAGTTTAATAAAAAATTAATTTTTTTTTAAAATAAGTCATTTGAACCTTTTTTATTTCACATAAAAATTATTTAGTTAAAATTTTAAAATATTTTAAAAACACATTTCATTACTATCCAAATACATGCAATATAATAATTTTGTATCTTTAATCAAATATAATGTTATTGATTCTAAAATATTAAACTAGACATAAAAATTTATAAAATTTCTCCACATTTTCTTCTCTTTAGTTATCTTGAACCAAAAATTCTCTTCTTTTCATTATTAAAAAAAAAAAGCTACTGTTTTTATAACAAAAAAAACTTTTTTCTTTTCAATCTTTGTATTTTTTATTATTCAAATTAATTATAATTAAAATTTCACTTTTTTTTATTATATACTCAATTTATTATTTTACTAGTATTGTTACTTTATTCATTAAAACTAATCGCATTAATTATTGTTACTATTATCACTATTATTATTATTATTATTATCACTATAACTTTTTATTTTTAAGACTATTTTTACCTTAACTATCATATTCACAGTTGTTAATGTAATAATTTTTATGACCATTAATTGTTTTATCATCATTATTACTACCATTGTAGCTATTATTATATATTATCACAATTTTAATTATTTTTATTCTTGATCACTTTAACAACTTAGCATTATTATCGTCACTATGACCATTGTTGTCTATGATATTATTATTATCATTATGATTATTATTGTACTACTTATCACCATAGATAATCTCAACAATAAAAAAAAATTACAATCATCATTATTATTGTTATCACTATTAATATCATCATTGATGGTGTCTTTGTTATTTTTTGATTTTTAATTACTATGGTTATTGCTACTATTATTAGGCAATTCCAATAAATAAAACTAAATAATTTATATGTTTTAGATTTAAAATTTAATATTAAATTTTGAAAAGTAAAACTATAAAAATTTAAAATCAAATTCATAAAATTAAATATTTATTTAGTTATTTAAATTCTTTTAACTTAAAACTAAAAATCACCCTATACACATAAGATGATTTTTTTCAATTTTGACTAATTTATCACCTATTTGATTGGTTCTTATTCGATATTTTATTCTTTTAATTTTTCAAATTGTTTCGGATTGGTGGTTGAATTGGTTTAGAGTACGGTCAATCAAATTGGTTATTTTTAACTAATTTTTATAGAAATAATATTTACTCTTCTGAACAAAAACACCTTGAATAAATTTTAATATAATTTAAGTGTATTTAAATTGTTTTTCTTGTGCCATGAAAACCTTAATATGTGTGAAAGAAATATGAAAGAATGAAAAGAAAAAACTAAAAATATTTTTTTATTATTCAATTAAAAAAGAAAATAAAAAGGAAAAAGTATTAATATATATTTTATATTATGAGTAATCTTGGAAAGAAGTAAAAGGCAAATTTTGTTTTCTATCTCTTTCTTTTTTAGTGAAAAAAAAAAGAATAATATTTTTGCGAGTGTCGCAAGTTTTCTTTTCAAAATTTTCTTCAATAAGCTAAATTAAATGAAAATCATGTTTAGAGTTAATTTTTTCTTCATATTTTTCTTTTTTATTTTCATAAATACTAAATAAATAATTAATGACACCTAAGTTATATATAAAAGAAATTGATACTAAAATTAAAAATTAAAGGTGACAAAAGTATGAATAAAGCAAAAAAAAAATGGAGATATTAAATAAATATGTCATTTTTTATATTTTAACATTTGAAAATAGAGAAAACTAATAGATTAAATAAATTGAGTAGAATTCAACATAAAAATGAGTTTTCAATTTTTTTCATTTTGTAGGCATCAGTAAAATATGATAGATCTAGAATGAAGATTATATCGTACTTGATTTTACGATTTTAAATATGTAATTTGTAGGAGTAATTATTTAGAGGGTATCAATCTATTTCTAAAAAAAAAAAAACAATTTTAACTATCATAATCATTCAAAAGTCAATTAGAATATTATTAATTGAATTCACTATGTCCAGGAATGTCACCACTTAACAAATACAGAGATGTGGACAATGTTTCAGTATAACTTGGTTTTCCCCTCTCTTAATGAAGTGCATTTTTTTATCCTTCCAAATATAGTTTTTAAATAAATTTTTATTATCTTTTTATTTTCAACTACTTCAGAAAGAGATCAAACAAAATAAATGAAAAGAAATTACAAAATATAGTGCAAATTGTAAAAGTAATTATGAGTCAATTATATCAAACTAGCCCAGTCTAAATCAAATAAAAAATATGTTCATTCAAATAATTAAGTAAAATTAATTTTTAAAATAATAAACTTGCTTATTTTTAAGTTGGGTATAAAACTCTCTTCCTTTAACTTGATGAATTTGAGTTAAATCTGTATAAAAAAAATACTATAAAATTATATAATATTTAGTTGATAATATGTTGATGTGTGTTTTTAATATTATTATATGTTTAAAAACAATTCTATATGAATAATTTGTTATTTAAATTAAAAATTTTGGGTAAAAATTGATAATTTTTTTATTTATTTTGATAATTATTAAATTTGAGTATCATATTTTTTTTATTTTAAATATAGATTGATTACTCAAATCAAACCCAATTTTCATAATTGAGTCAAGTTATTATCAAAAATGAGAAAAGTTTTTAACTTAATCTATCTCATAAATGAATTACAATGTTATACTCCAGGGATAAGTTTGATTAAAAATGTAAGTTATTGATTTTTTATGAACTTTCAATTAAAAGAAAAACAAGTAAATAAAAATGTAGAGTAACTTCTAGGATGTATATAATAATTTTATTTTAGAATTTATAGTATTAAAAAAAGTTTCTTAAATTATAAAAACAAGTAAAATAATGTATAATATTGGGTTTCGTATAATAATTAATAAATAAAATTTAAATTTTTTTAGATAATATTACTATTAATTTTTCTCAAAACCTCATTTATTAAGAAGTTCAATAACACATAAAAATTAAAAGATGTTAAAATATAAAATTATTACTACACAACACGCGTTATAAGCAAATACAATCAACTTTACATACTCAAAATTTATATATAAATATTATATAAATGTTGTATAAGCTTGCATGCTCAAAATGTTATAATTTTTTTTTTAAACTATACAAAATTTCAAATAAAACTTAAAAACTATTATGTCATATTATCAAATAGAGATAGAAAATTTTAAAAATACCTTGATCCATTAATGTTGATCAAAGGTTTAGTATTTTGGTGTAATGATCTTTTTCAGTTAAAATTACCAAATTCTTTAATAAGACAAGATATTTCTTATTTTGGTATATTGGGGACCATGACTAATCTTGTGATTTTAAATTTATTAGGATTCTCATCAACCCCAAACAGGTCAAATCTAGTCTCCACTTATCGAGTTCATATTAATTGTTTTAAATCAGTAGTCTAAAGGCTCACTAAAATTAGATCACTTTTATTGAGTCTAACAAAATATAAATAGCTAATATAAATACTATAAATAATATATATTGCCTATATTAATTATTAGAAATAAAATTTATAACAATCTTCCACTTGAGCTTCATATTCATTTAAACATTTATATCACAAAATTTTTACGCGCGCAACTGTATGCTATTCACTTTTAGACTCCTCTTAAACAATCTAGTCCATTTGATACAACAATAGGGAACCACTGCAGCTTTTATCATAACCCGATGTAACTAAACCATAATGATCACCACAATTGTATGTACTCAATGACATAGATTAAATATGGATAAGTGACATGAAAATTACAAGCAATGTGATCTTAGTTATGTCTATTTCCAACTGGTCCAAACTTTAGTCTTTATAGAGATCAATCCAAAATGCAATATAATTATTGCAAAAAAATAAGCAAAAGCATAATGATAAACACCAACTTTATTCTTTAGA